GAGGGAGGCAGAACTAAGCAGCTGGAAGCATCGGGGCGAATCAGGGTGCTTTTAGGTTGTCTCCGGGTCGTAACTTTTTTATTCATGGGGGTAACAGCTTTTCGAATGCCTGAGAGGTTCCAGGAATTGGCACCGGAGGTAAAGATGACACAGCCCCTGCTTGTAGGGCCTAGTTGGAGGGGCGGTTAGACAAGTAGGTAGTTTTTATATGGCGATGATAATAGTATAGTGGTGTTGAACCCAGCTGGGTGGGGGTCAGATTTCATAGGAAGGGGTAGCATTAGGGAGGGCTTCTAGGAGGAGAGGACGTGACAGGTAACAGGTGAGCTGATTTTCGAAGATTGAGGTGCAGGAGCTGTTTGCCAGGGTTAATCCAGGTGAGGCGGAGAGCGCGTGAAAAGGCAGGGAGGCGTGCCGGAGCACCCGGATTCAGGAAGCCCTGGAGTGTGGCCTCTCAAGTGAAGGTCAAATCCAACTTTCCAATGCTGCTATTGGAGGACGCCTTCAGTGAGAAGACCTCAGCCTCCTCACTGAGGCCTGTCGTGTCTTGGCACTCTCTGTCTGGAATTACTGCCTCCACCCCAGACCCTGAGTGTGGGGTGACCCAGCTGAGACTGAAGGTGGGTGGGACCTGGCCAGTGGAGAGGATTGAGGACAGTGTCCCACAGGGGAGACAGGAAGGGGAGAAACTGGGAGCTCAGCAGGGCACAGGGTGTACGAGGGGGAGGGCAGGAAGGGCTGGGGGTGGTGGGTCGGGACCAAAGCCTGGGAGCCAGCTTCTGAACCAAGTGGAGGGTTTGGGACTTTGTGGGAATGCCAGGCCACTGAGGGTTCAAATAGGGGAGTAGATGTCATTTGTGTGGTTTTGAACAGTCGCTCTGGCTGTAGTGGGGAGAATTGTTTGGGGGAAGCAAGACCACGCGGGCGATGGAGGTGACCTGGACCAAGGTAGTGGCAGTGGAGACTGTGGCTTCCTCAAGCTTCTTAAAGTCTAGACTCCAGAGACTGGTGTTCCATTTCTTTCCTGTCTGATCCTACAGATTTCTGCCTGGGAATTGACTCTGGGAACTTCTTGCTCCCGTTAGGCGGGGTCATGTCCTTCACCCCACGGGGCATGGGGTCACCTTTGAGTTTGTCAGTGGGGTGTGAGCCTACCATCCACGCAGGAGGAATGGGCTGGTTCTCAGAGATAGGACAAGAGCACCAAGGGTTTGGATGCTGGCCTGGGTGTCCTGAGGAAATGGAAAGCCGGTGAAGCAGAGGAGACAAGTTCAGATGTTTTGCATCAGAAATGCCACTCTGGAGACAGTGAGGGATTAGATGAGCTGACCCCAGAAGCAGGGTGGTGGTCAGTAGTGCAGACAAGAAGTTGTGAGGGCTTTAAGGCAGTGGCATAGGGTATGGATTAGAGGGGAATTTAGGAAGGAAAATCAACAGGACTTTTGTTTGTCGAAGTCTGGACTTAGGAGGGCGAGAGGGAGACTCCAGGATAGTGCTGTAAGCAGAACTGTGTGATGATACAACTCTTCTGCTTCTGTGCTCTCCAGCCACCTGCCGAGCACTTGCAGTGTGGCTCGTGTGACTGAGAAACTGGGTTTTTAATTTTAATTAATTAAATCTGTTGACACACACACCTGTGGTGAGGAAGCGCACTGTTCCAGGCTTGGTTCTTCTAAATGTTACCCCAGTTAATGCTGCCACCAACCCTATGAGGTGTAGGTATTATTTTGGGTTTTCAGAAATGGAGGCTCAGAGAGAGTAAGTAACCTGATCAGGTATTAAGTAGTACAACTAGGCCTTTAACTTATAAGTTAAAGTTAGAAGTTCATGATAACTTAGAACTAGGTTCAAAGTTACCTTAAACCAAAACCAAACCCATTGCTGTCGACTGACCCTATAGGACAGAGGAGTGTCCCCTAGGGTTTCCAAGGAGCGGCTGTTGGATTCGAACTACCAGCCTTTCGGTTAGCAGCCGAGCTCTTAAGCACTGTGCCACGAGGGCTCCAAAAGTTACCTTAGAGGTCAGTTTAGCTTCTCGTGTGGGGCTCTTTCTACTCTACCCTGCTTCCTTCCCCCAAGGAGCCTGAAGCTTCTTCATGCCTGAGAAATGTCCTCTTGAGTCTGGCGTTGTTTGCCCCTGTTGAGGCCTCCTTATCTGTTCCTGCCAAAGTTAACCAGGACAGTTGTGTGATAAGCCAGCGTAGACTAAACAGAACGCTGTATTTAGGCTGTTTTGCCCAAAGCTGCTTCCTGCTTCTGGTATCTTCCTAATGGCTGCTGTTGCTCTTCTTAGCATCTCTAGAGACTTAATGGAGAAAGAAGAAGCAGGTGAAATTGCAGATGAGCCAAACTGGGGCTTGTGATTTGGGAAGAGTTGGTGGTGAGGAGGTATAAATGAGTGCCTGAGATGCGGGTTTGGAATCACAGTGGACAGGGCAGGGCCTGTGTAGTGGAAGGGGTATAGGACATGAGCCAGGACTTAGTGTGGCTGTCGCTAACACGGTGGGAACCTTGCCCAGGTCACTTTGCCTCTCGGGGGCTCAGTTTTCACGTCTATAAAATTAGAGTGCTTGGCACTACATGATCTTTAAGGTCCCCCAGCTCGAAAATTCTGAGTTTAAGCTCCACCCCCAGCTCGAAAATTCTGAGTTTAAGCTCCACCCCCAGCTCGAAAATTCTGTGAATTTAAGCTCCATTGGAGGTGTGTGTTCTAGACCATCTCTCGCTTCGCTCAGGGTAGAGGAATACTGGTGGTCAGCATGCCTTGGCCTCCATTTTGGTGTGTTTCACCGTCAGTGGCTCATCGCTAAATAATGTGCCTCCTTAAGTTATGTGACATGTCACATCTGATGCACAAACATTAAACAGTGAGAACCTTAACGGGTGGCAGCGTTCCCAGTGAAATATCCGATGTGCCTGCCATTCTGAGCAGCATTGATGTTAGGAAAAAACGCGTAAGACTACCATGGAGACTGGGTGCAGTGTCAGGCCTTGGCCAGGTGCCCTACCCTCAGGGTGGAAAGTGAGCGATAATAATAGTATCCACTTCATAAGGTTATTGAGAGGATTAAATGAGATAATGCATGTAGAGTGCCTAGCACTTTTCCTCGAATATAATAAGGGCTCAAAAAGTGGCAGTAATTAATGTTGCCTTTTGAACGAAAATGTTTCCTTGAAATTTATTAGTGGTAGGTTTTCTTGGTTTGGGCGACTCTTGGCACTGGTCATTTTGAGCATTACAAAATAAGTACCTTTTTTGTCGTGATTTATTCTCAGTGATCAGTTCAAATTAAGGTTTTGTGTTTCCTGTAAATCGAAGAAAACAGTTCATCCTGAAGATCCCTTGCTTGTAATGGCTAAGATTAAATTTTACCAGAACTTTGCCTAAACTGGTATATTCTTGGGGTGACTGCCTTGGAAAAGTGGTGCGGAATTTAAATCAGGGCTCGGTTCAGGTTCGAACCCCTGCTGAGAATTTGCATTTCCACTCCCAATATAATAAATCAGAAGCTACATTTTATTTTATTTTTTATCATTTAGAATATTTATATTCATTGAAAGGTCTATTTTAGAGTAATTTAGACATAGGTTTTTTTTTTATCACATCAGTATTGTACATACATAAAAAGAAAAATAGAAGCAAAATAAATTATGGCATGCATGATTTCGTGTTCTGAGTCCAGCGACTCTGAACAGCTCTTTGTCCACGTTTTCCCAGACAGTATTGTCTTCTGTGCCATTGAGAGCGTAGATGACCCAGGATTTCTTCAAAAAATGCTCCATGATGCTATTCTGCGCAGTCAGCAGGAACTTTCTGACAAATTGATGTTAGGTGCCCTAACGACCGTCTTGCTTCTTGCGTCAAAAGGCTAAACCACCCACCCAGCTGCTTTGAATTGGCTTTTTTTTCCTGATCCCATGTCCTCACTAGAGGAGCTGAGTCTTTTTTTTTCCCCAATTTTATTGTTGTTGTTGAGAATATACACCGTGAACCATACACCAATTCAGCAGTTTGTACACGTACAATGTAGTGACATTGATGACATTCTTTGAGTTGTGCAGCCATCCTCACCTTCCTTTTCTGAGTTATTCCTCCCCCATTAACATAAACTCAACTGCCCCCTAAGGTTCTTCTCTAATCTTTCAAGTTGGTGTCATCAATTTGATCCCGTATACACTAGTGCCCCCTACTGCGAGTTTCAGTTACCTGCAGTCAGTCGTGGTCTGAAAATATTAAATGGAAAATTCCAGAAATAAACAGGTCATGAGTTTTAAATTGCACGCTGTTCTGAGTAGCGTGATGAATCTCACATAGTACAGCTCCATCCTGTCGGGAGTCGAATCATCCCTTAGTCCAGCGTGTCCCGGCTGTACACGCTACCCGCCTATCGTCACTTAGTGGCTGCCTCGTATCACAGTGCTTGGGTTCAGGTAACCCTTATTTTAATATGTTAATCTCTTAGTGTGTCTAATTTATAAATTAAACTTTAATGTAGGTATGTACATATAGGAAAAAGCATAGTATATATAGAATGTGGTACTATGCAGTTTCAGGCATCCACTGGGGGTCTTCTTGGAACGTATCCCCCACAGCTAAAGGAGGACTACTGTAGATAGTTCTGAAAAGAGCATAATACTCATGGCAGGCATATTTTGCTAGTTAAGCTGAACTATTGTTTGGTTTTAAGAAGACTTCAGGGGATATTTTTGGTTTAAGGCTTGAAGGTGGTTATCTCAGGGCAATAGTTTCAGGGGTTCATCCACCCTCCACGGCTCCAGGAAGTCTGGAGCCCATGAGTCTTTAAAATTCTGTTCTGCATTTTCCCGCTTTTGATCAGGATTCTTCTATGGAGTCTTTGATCAAAATGTTCAGTGATAGTAGGTGGGCACCATCCTGGTTCTTCTGGTCTCATGGCAGAGGAGGCAGTTGTTCATGGAGGCAATTAGCCACACATTCTATATCCTCTTATTCCTGACTCCTTCCTCTGTTGTTCCAGGCATATAGAGAGCAGTTGTTGTGCCTTGGATGGCCACTTGCAGGCTTTTAAGACTCCAGGCACTACACAGTGAACTAGGAGGTAGAACAGAAGCACTAAACACGTTATTAGGCCAGTTAACTGGGCTATCCAGTGAAACCATGACCCAGAAGCTGAGTAATTGTAACGGAAATTTTTGTTAGACCACTTCTGATAGTTCCTGCTCTTGACAAATGCTTTCTCCTTCTCTCCCTCTCAAAACTTATGGGTACTCTTTTACTCATTAATCCCCTTTTTTTCTCTTCTCAATCTCTTCCTCCTGTCCCGCCCCTGTGCTCTTCACTGCAGTGAGTGGTGGTGATGGGTGTTTCAAACTGCAGTGGCTAAGACACCAGCCAGCTCTGTTGCTCACGGGGCGGCTCAGCGGGTTGCTCCTGAGTTGCAGTCATGTGCTGCTTGGTGGGATGCCCAGCCCAGGTAGGCTTGCTCAGATTTGTTGGGTGGATGGTGCTGCTGTCAACCAGTGTTCCTTGGCTCGCTACCACGTGGCCTTCATCCTGCTGGGAGGCTAGACAGGGCTTTACAAGATCGAGTTCCAAGAAGCAGCTCCAGTGCTAAAGTGTGTTTTATCAAATTCTTGTTTGTTTCACGTTTGTGGGTATCTCATTGGCCAGAGTTCCCATGACCGAGCCTAGAGTCTGTGTGTGAGGGGCTATGTGGACACCAGGAGGCATGGGCGGAGTGAGGGGGGGCGTTAACAGTCTACCAGTGTAGGGGGGTGGGGGGCTTTTTGTGCTAGCTGTAAATGACAAGTTCAGTGTTTGTAGTTTATTTTAGTTTACACTGGACTCAGTTCGAGGAACCTTTTTTTAGCGCTGGGTGCTGGGAATTCACAAATATGGCACAGTCTCTAGCTGCTCTGTGTCTAGTTTGTACAATACACGTGATCTCAATTTCTAAGCAGGAAACGTCCTCTTTAAACTTTATTCATGGCTTTAGACACAAAAGATAGGAACTGCTTACAGGAACCTCTGTTGGGGCCTGATTTTGCTTTCAGAAAGTGCTGATAAGTACTGGGAAAAAACGGGTTGCTATGATGATTTGGCTTTGGGCCTGCCAACTGGTGACGACACAGTCACCAAGGAAACCAAGACACAGCTTCTGAAGGCCCCTTGGAAGGCTTTGTTCCTCTGTCTAGAATCCGCCTGGCTGGGGAGCGTGGTGTTGGAGACGGAGCTGAAAGCAGAGAGGCCTGCTGTTCTGCTGGCACTTTCAGGACCAGGGTGGCATTTGTTTTTGAAATCCTTACTTGGGCCTTGTTTCAGAACCAGGGGAGGTTTGGAGTAATTTCAAGGTTATTGTGAGATTTGGCTCTGATGTGGATGCTGCTGAGAGAGCAGGAAATGAAGTCATGTTGTTTTGAACATGTAGTGGGAGAGTGAACCGTAAATGCCTAAATATGGGCAACTCTGCAGGTCTGCATTGCGGGGCCAGCGTGGTGAATTTTGATAGAATTGGGTACTTCCCGTGTTGGCCCCTTTGATCCTTAAAGGTACACAGCATGCCTGTGGAGGTGGGGGCCCGGTGGTTCTACTGAAGTGCTGGCCGAGGGGTCGGCTCCACGCCTTCATCGAGGCCCTTGATTTTGAACACTTGAACCAGCAGCGAACCTCCCCAGAGCCTGAGCTCCCACCTGTTCCGTAAGTGTTCATACCCATAGTCAGACTGTGTTCTTTGGGAAACTTTGAAATCTCCCAGTTTAGGAGCTAGGTGCCACCTTCAAGAGTTCTGTTCACACTTTTTTGTGGGTGTGTAAGTGCAACATTTAGGTTGTGACTTTGTAACTAGAATCATTAGTATACGGAGACTCAAAAGCAGTGGAACAGTGACGGAAAGAGCTAGGGAGAGATTTTGAAAGTTCTTCACCATGGTAACAGTTCTCGGCATGGGGTATCTCAGCAGTCATTGGCTGACCGGTGACTGTTTAAAAAAAATGTCTGAAATGTTGTGCACAGAAGGCCGAAATGAGCGGCTCCTTCCTATAGGCAGGAGAGCAGCTGTATTAATAGAAAGCGATGTGGCTGGTTGTGGAAGGCAGGGCTGGGGGGCCCCGGATTAGTCTAATAGGAACCTTTCACATAGGATTGGACAGGAATGGGCTCTGGATTCCCCTCTGCCGTGGGAGGCTCAGAGACGAAGTTGGGGTGGGCATTCCCATTGACAGCCAGGTGAATTGGCAGTCTGAACTCTCAGGAACTTTCCTGAGCACTTCTCTAGCTTTCAGAATGTTGTCCGTTAGCCAGAGTTACTATTTGATAGTCGGTAGAACTGAGGGCTGGTGTAAAAACAGCATGGGGCAATGTCTGACTTCCTGTAACCCCACAAGGGGAAAGGAGAACCAGGCTCAGCAGCACAAGGCGGACTCCCATGAGGTGAAGGCCAGACATGCCTCCTCTCTCCACCATCTTTACCAATTCTGACACCAACCATCCCTCCCATGGCACTCTCTACTTCTTTGCTGGGTTTAATAATTCATTGCAGTGGCCACATAGAACTCACAGACCACACTCATGATTATGGGGCTTATTAGGGGAAGTAGCAAGTTACAATTCAGGCTCAGGAACACTCAAGACACAGTTCTTCCATCAGGACAGCCTCTTCCCAGCCATGCTTGCAGGCACACCTCTCCCTGGCCCTACACCTCTGCCCAAAGGCACCCAGCTTTCTCTCTGTGGGCCAGGAAGCCCACCACAATGTCTCCTGCCGGGTCTCTGCTGCGGGTCTCTCCTTCCTTGGTGGTGGCGGGCTCCTCCTCTCTGTTCTGGAATTGGCTCTTTTAAGGCAAAACTGACCAGTCCCCTTGGTAGGCCACAATTACCCTGTCACACAGTCACCGGGGCGGGAGTTACAAGACCATGGCTAGAAAGGCCACACACAAAAGTAACCAATCCACCGCAGCTGGTGAACAGTCAGTCACTGAAGCCCCAGGGCTCGGCCCAGGTTTGCTTATGCTGGGGATTATCCTACAGTCAAGCCTTGGAAAGCCGGAACCTGTGTAAGGCGAAAACCTGTTGAGAAGGAAAATGCAGATATTTTCCACTAAATAGAGAGCTGTAGAAAAGTGACTGCACCCTGTCAAAGGCAGAAAACTTGCGAGACCTGGAAAAACAGGGCCGTCCCGTCGAGTTCCGGCTCTCACAGGTTTCACTGTGGAGTGGGGGGGGCCAAATTTGTTATTTTCCTTAGAAAATGTCTAGTAGATCCCAAAACAGACAGACAAACCCTACTTGATTGTAGATGACTGATAGCTCTGGAGTAGAAAGGAGAACCAGGGGCGGACCCCCCACCCTGCCCCGGCTCTGCCAGCCTCCCC